TTGGTGGTTGGTGTAACATTATTAGGATGGACTTAAATGGGGAAGACAGACTATCCAGAAATTGGCGTTAATTCTACGATTGTAGTGATAAATATACCGGGTGACCCAAAAATCCTTCAACGTTTGAAAATTCAATAATTTACGGAATAATGTAGCTAGAGAGGTAAAAATTTACACACATGCTTGAAATGACATGACGTTTTATTGAAAGGAAAAAAATAAAAAGAGACTAACATATGGCTCTGGGCAGCAAAATGTTAGTGACGTCGCATGAGAATCGTGTATGAAATGAACTGCAGTGAGAGAGAAATCAGTCCCTTCATGACTTTGTCGCTTTTCTATCCTCGCCTCAGAGTTTTGGTCACAGTGTGATGTGGATTTATCATATCAATCGTGATCGGACCCTTTTTCTTCGAGGAAAGGCGTGGTTCTGCTATTCAAACTGTTACTGTGACGGGTGCGAGGTACACTGATATGTTACAGAATCGCATCATCCTTAGTCTTGTCGATAAACACCTATTGGAAGTAAGAATTTTATGTAGGATGGCTCTCCACCTAATACTGCTACACATGTGAAAGATCTCTTGCACACATCATTTGGTGAGGATCGCGTGCTGAGTTGTCACTTAGGTCATACTTGGCCTGTCAGGTCCCCAGATCTCAATCCGTGCGATTATTGGTTGTGGGGTTACCTGAAATCTCAAGTCTACCACGATCATCCGACCTCATCAGTGATGCTAAAAGACAACATTCCACGACAGTTTCTTACCATACCTACAGATATTCTGTACAGTGCTGTTCACAAATTTTGTCTCTCAGGTATTTTTCATGAATGCCGGCTGACATGTTGAACATTTATTTTAAAGAACACAGGCTTTTCTAAAAATCAATTGATTGGTTTTGTTACCATATGAAACTCTATTTGTTGGCCGTTTTAAACACTTTGTTTTGCTTTCAATAAAACCCCATCACATTTCAAGCATGTGTGCCAGTTTTTACCTACATCATTCAGTGAATTATTGAATTTTCAAATGTTAACGGACTTTTGGGTCACCCGGTACTTGTTGATGATGACACTCTCCTAGAACTGTGGAGACCAGATGCTATCGGAATAACAGACCTGGGCCACAAAGAAGACAAGAGAGGAAAGAGATTTATAAACTAAAAGGCAGTTTCATAATTCTGTATTATTTCTCTGGGCCGACACTCAAATACCGATACTCACCAATAAGGATTTAGCTTTGAAGCGTTTAGAATGTATCTACTAGAATCTTATTTCCCAAATTTACTTTCCTCACATAGGTTTTAATAACTAGGGTAATTTAGGGGTAATCGAAGAAGTTAAAGAATCCTTAACTATTGATCACAGACACTATTTGCCGCATAGATCTGCGATTAAAAAAATAGCCCAAAGGCCACTGATGCGTCTAGCGAACAAATTTGTCTCATTTTCTAAATCGTTTGGAGTGCGGTCCAGATTTGATGGGATCCTTCTCTTCTGTTGAGATTTTGAAGAGGCAAGTTTGCTACTATAGCAGACATTAAGAAAGATTTTAACAGCTCAGTGCAAAGCCTCGCATCGATGATTTTGGTGGAATGAAGTCGAAGAAAAGTAAATAAAAATATTTCGTTATACTAGAGTAATGTTTGGGGTCAAAAGAAGTTATTTCCTTTTGGCAACCGTTATATAATTCCATCTACAAAAGTATATGAAAGATTTTCATTATGATATAGAGATGATAGCTAAAGTCATATATAGCTTCTAAATAAATAACGTTGCAGCCAGTTTCTATAATGTATCCGAGATGATTTAGTTCATCGAAAAATTTCGAGAAATAACGTTTGAAGAAAAATTTCATCTTCGGTGCTGGTTACTTACCAGACATAACTTAAAAGAAAAACTGTTTTACCGGTATTGGGGCTGTCAGAAACTTTCCATACGCACTGGAACTGTCAGAAATACAGTTTAACTTTGAACTGACTTGACGATTTCAAAATGAATGGAATGACGGGGAGAGCAAATCTTGGTGTAACAGGCAAAGTATTTTATCCTGCTGGACCTTTATCTTGTTTATATCAAGATAAAAGGACTGTGTGTCCTTTTATCTAGTATCCTAAAATATTATTGCAGAGTTTATGGAAAGCGGATACTGAACTCGATGGGACTACAGAACAAAATTTTCAGAATTAATATAAAGACCTTTTTCTCTTAACGATGGATGCATCCCAGGAAAGATAATAAAAGGCTCTCTAGCATTCATTCTTTCTGTGATGTCGTAATAATGCCTGTGCTGCAACAGTATTTTTGCGAACTGATGCCTGTTGAGTTGAAGTTCATGTGTTGACATCGAAGTCTAGAGTAGCTCTTGTTATGTTTATCACGAATTATCATCTGAAAATAATAGCTTCTACGACAGAAGCTAGACTGTGCTCTTCCGTTTTAGATGGTAAAATATTGAAATGCATTTTTGAAAGCTTCTAAATAGGTTTGATATGGATTCAAAAGTAAGAGATCTACACTGTCTTTGAGGAAAATAGAGTTACGAAAATTAGAAAATTGACATATCTGAAAGCATGAAAACATATTTCTGTAATAAATTAACCAGCTGACTTTCTATCAAGAGGTTGCATCTTCGTATCAGTAAGAATTTTGATAGTTGGGTGGTGGGAGAGCCCGGATTGGCTGAAGAAAAATAAAATGAATGGCCGAAATCAAAATTGCTCTATAATAATGAAGACATAACGCAAGAAATAAGAAAAAAGGTGTAAGGAAAACTCATATAAATGTAGGAATTGAAGAAATATTCCATAGAATTTTATCGTGCGGAAAACTGATTTTTGAATAGTTGCTTGAAATTTTAGATTTTATTTTAATCTGAAATCTAAACCGTCATCATGCTCTAATAAAACATCTGCGAAAAAAAATCAGGTAAGCTGAACTTATTGTCTTAAAAACTGTCCGACGAGAGGAATTTCCTGATTGAATAAAGAATCAGCGAATAACACATTGCCGTCCACCACTTGACCAAGAATGATTAATGAGGGTACGAAAACAGATCTTCAATAGAAAAATAAGAAAGAACTTTCGATTACCAATAATATTACCATTGAAGCTTTCTTTTGGAGGGATAAGATGTTTGGGCTTCTATAATACTTAGCGGCTAGAGGATGTGTAGACAGAGCAGGTTATGTTGGCTTGGGTATGGCAAGAACAAGAATATATTGTAGGCGTCTTCCTATAATTCAGTAGCAAGACACTGTAACACACAGTACTAATCTAGGGTCTAACTTTTAATTCACTGCACTAATTACTTATTCCAGCCTAACATTGCGCACTTAATATTTCAGTATGTACTTGTCTTCTGTAATCTAATGATAATGCTTCAAAAGATCATAGTGTACTCAACATATGAGTACACACGTTATGTATAAATGCTATCGTATCCATGCTTTTGCATACACCCTTGTAACATGGCAATGTTATCCAGTGTCCTAACATTAATTAGCTTTAACGCCACTGTATGAAGTACCAAATTTGTATGTATGTTTATATATTAATATATTAGCACAATGAACACGTATGGTTATCTAGATAAAGGTGGACGTGGCGCTATACCGATTAACCGTTATGGTAGAGGGGTGGTGCCCACGTCCTCCGTCGCATGTCGCATGTAGGCGTCTGCCGCGTCATAGAGACAGCTCATATCAGATATCTGTGAATGCCCGTAGAAACGTGGAGAGTTAATTTTCATGCTATAGCTCTATTAGTAACTTAAATTTATTACAATAATATCAAAATATTCATTTTTTGCATCATTAATTTTAAATTACACTATATTAAAAATTTTAAAATAATTGATTGAAAAATCATATTTGCCAAATCACATTAAAGAATATCACATATTTTCTCTGTTCATTTTATAGAGAAAATATGTAGTATTCTTTAATAAAATGAGATACAAACAAATGCTGACACATTCCAATCTAAATAAGATATCCAAAATGAAATTATTGTGAACACAATTGAAGCTGAATTATTTTTCGAAACATAGTCAATATTCATCATAGCGACTATTCCATTACAGCGACCGGCATAAAAATGTCACTGGCTAAAGAGAATGCATTAAATACATTTTAAGTATAGCGACTACTCGTCGTAACATCCGTGAGGAATCTTTATAACTAATATCAAATAAAATCACTTTCGAACGAAAGTTAATGCATCCTTCAGATCACATAAAATATTTGTAAGAAATAGGAAATTAATTTCAAAATTTTTCTGAAATATTATTTTTACGATTTCGTAAGTACTAGAGAGAATTTACTAACCGAATTCGAAATTTCCTACCTGGGTAGCTATTCTTCTAGGTAATTATGGAATTGTACATTAGGAAAGCTTTCCTTTCTAAATTAAAAATGTTTTAGTATAAATATTATTTTATATTCATGATTTTCAAGATGAACTAAAACACAACGTTAAGTAAATCTGAAAATCTTTTAAACGGTTTCATCTATCAATGCCAAGTTAATATGACTAAATACAATCTGTTCAATCCATTCAGATGCTCCATGGTAGATAAAATTATGAAAGAGAAAGAATACCGTATTTGACGGCATATAAGACGCACTGGCATATAAGACGCAACCTTATTTAGAAAGCCACACATAGTATGTAGACGTGGAAAAGTTATGTGTGTCTAGATCTTTATCCGGGCTAAAAATAGCATTCAGTATTGAAAGTTAACCTGTATCCTTCACGTATAAGACGCAGGTAACTTTGTTGAGACCAAATTTAGGAAAAAAAGTGCGTCTTATATGCCGTCAAATACGGTAATCGCAACATTTTTAGCTTGTGTTTTAAATACAGCACAATTAAACGGTATTCTTTTGCAATGTTACTTCACTTTGCTAAAAATTAAAAATAAAGATTTATTATTTTTGAAGTTAAGGACAAATAGACAAAACTGGTCTTTTCCGAGTGCACTTCACTTACGATGATATATAAAAAACTTCTTTTATTTCTTCAAAAAGAATATTACACGGTATATTTGAATGAAGAGTAAGTACATGTAACAGACATGAAGTATTTGAATGGAAAAATATATCTGGTGGGTAAAATTTATATACAAAGATTAATTTTCAGCCATTTGAAAAAAAAAAAAAAAAAAAAAAAAAAAAAAAAAAACTTCAAGCGCCTAAGCAAATGCTTTGGCTTTGGTTGATAAAACACTTTGCAACGCCTCAGTCTATATATTTATCAATGGCACTTGTTAAGAATTTTTTAAATTAAAAACATATATTTCATTATCAGATCTACTTAGAATGCATACGTCATCAAATATGTGTCCTTCCGTTGTCTGTTTGATGTGTCACCCTGATTCTGCTAAGCATCAGCCCAACTGTGGAACAGCATGGGCCCAAGCAAGCGTCTAAGGCAGTCCTCAAAAACTGCCTAACAGCGTGGCAGTTGATTGTGAACTGTCTGAGTGCAGGTCCGATGCACCACACATGCTGGAATGTCAGGCAAGCAAAACTGCAACCTACAATGAGAGCTATGGGTAGTCCGCATACCATGGACAGACATCGGTAACAGCAGTTCTTTGAACACGTGAAAACATATTTAGAGTTCTCCCACACACAGCTTGGAGAATAAGTACCTTCAGGCTCAGCGATGACATCATCAAATTCAACCTTAAAGAACAAAGTGTACGTTAAAGAAAATGAAAACAAAGGAAAATGTGCTTGTTAATATATATACACATAAAAGAAGAAAATGATATTTCAGATCAAAAAAGATTATTAGGAGTTGAAATTAATTTCAAAAACTTAAAAACTTTTCTGTACGAAAATTTGCATTAAACAACACTAGTATCCCTGCCAATGTCCAGTATATATCGTTTTAAAAATAGATACTGCTGAAACATAAACGTGCCTTCATTGAAAATAAGTGCAGATGAACTTAAGTCTCGCTTAATGAATGGGTAAAGTCATTAAGAAAGATTGTTACATTTTTAACAATTTCTCCAGAAAATTATTTATAATTTAGTAAATTATGAATAGTATATGATTTGTGGAACCATTGTGAAGCAGATATACAATAGTATGCGCTAGTGTTTAAATGTATTTAAACAAAATTAATGCCCTATAAAAATATAATGTAATTATATCCGTTACTCATTTCTAGTTGATTTAGGTATTTACCGTAGCAGAGGAAATTTTTAGTACCATTAACTGAGTCTGAATTTTATTTAGATAAAGCGAAAATAACTGAATTGTATGTAGAAAAAATTCAAAAGTTTTCGGCGTATTTTGTGTAGTCAATGAATTTTTAGCAGTATCCTTTATTTAATTATTTCAGATTCTAGAGCTGTTCATCAGCACTATACTTTTTATTTACATGAAATAAATATATTCAGAACAAATATATTAAAAAAACTAAAAAATAATATCTAATACTTGCAATGAACAACAAACTACATCAAAAATATTTTCATTATGGAAACTTATCGGGGGATGTAGCAAAAATTAGCATTTTAAGCGTAGTCCTTAATATGTTTTGTAAATGAAATTTGTGCAATTATTAAATTAGAAATATATGCTTTCAGGCGAAGCTTAAACTAAGGAAAATTACGTTTTACTGTGGGCTTGGAGATGAGCAAAACATTTGAAAAGTTATATACGGGTTGATAACTAGAACAGTATGAATTGCAATCTTTCGCAAACTATCAAGAAAACAATTTCGCGTTCTTTAAGCATTTGATGTTTGAGATAAAAGTGAAAATTTTCAATTTTTAATGTTTGAATAAGCTCATATTTTAAGGAATGTACTTTTTAAATCAGAAAGAAGCATTTTCAAATCAAGATGCTTTCATTTATTTATTTTAAAAGTTATTCTTAAAGCTAAGCTGTAATCTAAAATATTAACTTTTCCTTTAATCAAAAGCTTTATATTTGATTACAGAAGTAGTAGAATAATTTTACATAGATAAATATTGTATTACTCTCATAATACTTTTTAAATTTTTTTTATTTTTAACGTTCTTAAGTTTTAAAATGAATAAGAATGCTTTTTGCTACATTCCCATTTTAGAGTCTTCAGACAGTCATTTTCAAAGTAACAGTTACATAGACAGCTTGGAAGGAAGCACAGCAAAAGCTTGCAACAGTAGTGAGATGGTGGACGTCCTGAAGCAATCCATGACAGTAACATTTTCCACGTAGACATAGAGGACAGAGATAGAGGTACGAAAAAGCAAAGATAAACACTAAATTTACTAAATAAAAAAGCAGAACTAATTTTACAGACACATGCATTAAAAAATCAAATATCAAATACATTTGCAATTAGTATCTTTAATTGACAAAGAATATAAAGGTAGACAGGAAAAATGTGATTTTTTTCCCTCTTCCTTCTATTGCAGCGCAACTGTTACTTTGAAATTTAAGCAAATGGCAAATTTTGAGATAATCTAATAATAACTGTAGGCATTGCTCATTGCGTGAAATTAAAACTTAAAATTTTCCTTCTTTTTAATAAAATTTGCCGCTGCTTGTGAAAGCGTGACTATGGGAAATAAATGTATATTATAAAAATAGTTATTCTGAGGTTTTTTTCTACTTAAACAGGCGAAATTGTAGTTTGCCGTTATAAACAAATCTAAAATACATGCTTTAGAATTGAGCAACAAACTTCAGCTGTGTGTAAGTTTTGCAGGATTAAAACTAGAGCTATTTGAACATACATCGAAAGCACTGAACATGCGACAAAATCAACAAACATGCAACAAGCATTTGTATCCTTTTCAGTTTATTATTATTTTAAAATAAAACTTATGTATTCTATGTGAGTAACATGGCAGAGATCACTTACTGAATTAAAATAGTATGTGAAATTTTAAACTAAATTTAAATTTATTCCTAAAATTAACTAAAAATTAACAAATTATTTTTGGGGTTAAACTAAATTCTTTTTTTTTTTTTTTAAATTTGAGTTTAGTTTTTAATACTTAAACGAATTTTCTAAATTTGTATTCAGTCCTATATTTTAACTGAATTCATCTGAATTATTGTTTAAGCATTAATTTTTTTAAACAAGTTTCTTCGTGAAACATTTAAAATTCCCTTTTGTTTTCAAATTAGAAGAAAATAATAAAAGAACAAAATGCCTTAACCCGCAATTTTTTTAAGATTGTCAATTATCCTTAGTGAATCAAAATAAATTGATCCTCTTAAGATTTGCCATATTTGCACCTTTCCTTGTAGATATAAAATAATTTTTATATTAGCGTGTATATATATATATATATTAAATCGCTACTATACAAATGCTTCAACTTCTGTTACTGAAATTTTATAGTTTAATGTCGCTGTATATTAATTATGAAAAAGAATACGAAAAGGAGTCTAAACACAAGGGATTGTAAACTGTTTTATTATATGGAATGTATATTAAGTATTGGGATAGCTGTAAGAATAATTCTGGTTTGTTTCCAGGTACTTTATTTTGATGAAAATAGAGCTTTGAGAAGGAAAACAAAAGAATTCAGGATGTCGGGCAGAAATTTTTTTTTTATGAGATGAACTTCTGTATCTATATCGCATTTACTGCTTTTTTGCAAACGAATTTGTAGACGAACTATTGCGAAATTTGAAATTAATGGTAACCAAAATGTGTAATCACGATCTGACCTCAATAAACTGTTAACAAAACCTTTTGAAGAACTGGAAACATCATTTAAAATTTTTATATTGAATGTTTTTAACTCATCACTTGTATTTTCCATTTCCTGAAACATTTTTCCGCACATAACGATTTAAAATTTTTACGATGGAAGCTAAAATACTGTATTCTTTCTTTCCTTCTTCTTTTTTTTTTTTTCAAAAAACATTCACAATAAAGAGTGATATTCTTACTCCCGATTGCGATAGTGAAAATCTTGTTAAGTTATAATTTACGTATGATGATCTTGTAATGCTAATATAAGCATCATTCTCGTTAATAACCTATTAAAAACACAGAATAATTTAAATGTTAATTTATATATAAAATTTTTGTTAGGTGGAGTTCATTAGAATGAGCTCATCTCAGAGATAGGATTTGCAAGCTCAAATTTTGGAAAGGTATTTTACAAACGAAAATACAGCTTTAAGGATGCGTATATTATTGTTTTATAATAAATGCCTAGTAAGAAAGTACAGTGGATATTTATAGCAGCCTAAAAAAACATTTTGGAATAAGAAGACGTTAAAACATGGATATTCATCAACTGTTACTTTGTAACAGGAATATTTAATGCTGTAAACATATAATTCTTAGTGTTTTATAAAACATTAATTCTTGTAATTTACAAAATTTATTATAAGCTGCTATTAAGTAGTGCAAATGCTATGAATATAAAGCAGAACGAGAAAAAAGCTTCTCAGCGTACATTTTTTATTGCATGCATATTTGTAGCGCTTTTGGAGTGCAGAATGGTAAAATCTATAGGGTTAAAAACTAACAGTGGTAAGGTAGGGCCCTGGGGCGGGAGTTGGTGGAGATTCCTTCCTTTTCGGCTGCTTTAGAGGGACATCCACCATCCGCAAGTCGTCTCGTAATTGCTGCAAAAACATACCAAAATCTTAAGTAAAATTCATATAAAATTTTTTAAAAATTTGGTTTTGCTTAACACATGGATTTTGTAGCACCAGGTATTTTTTATTACAGACAAGTATTATTTGTTTACATATGTAATATAGCAAAAATATATTGTTCAAACAATACTTCAAAATAAACGAAGTACCAAAAATGATTTAAACAGAAAAAGCAGAAATTCCATTGAAATTAGGGCAACCAGCCGTCAAAATAGTGGATTGAGTGTAAATTTTCTGTACGTTAACATGATGACAAAATATTAAATTTTATCATCTATTAATAATATCTTATATTAATATTAATTATGTTATCATATATTAATATTAATAATACGCTCAGACTGAATATTCTAGCAGGATAATTACCATCAATATGCGTATGTAATATTAAATTTTATTACATCCAGTATCTCGCATTAGTCCGGATGGTTAGTCTAACACCAAAGAACATTAAATACTTAGCTACTAATATCATAGTAATTGATTTACTGATGAAATAATATTAAACATTTTTTCTTGTACTTCAGTTGAATTCAGTCTAGCAGGATAATTACCATCAATATGCGTATGTAATATTAAATTTTATTACATCCAGTATCTCGCATTAGTCCGGATGGTTAGTCTAACACCAAAGAACATTAAATACTTAGCTACTAATATCATAGTAATTGATTTACTGATGAAATAATATTAAACATTTTTTCTTGTACTTCAGTTGAATTACTATGATGAATAATTAATAAATCTGATTGTTTAGGCCTTCTCAGTGATTGCGGTGATTTTTACCAGAGGGCGTACCGCGCAAAGAGTTAGTTGCGTTACAGAATGTTAAGGGAGCAGACGGAACAAGATGTCGGGCATATTACCGCTAATGATATAATACAATGTATCTGCCAGGTGGCAGAAAACTAGTATACTGTATCAAGTACATGCCAGGTGTCATGAGGCTTGTATACAACTGTAAATAAACGTACAATAAAATATCTCTGTGAAATTAATCAAAGGAACACACAAAGATATAAATTAGTTGGGGACTACACTGATACTACCTAATGAAATAACGTTCATCTTAAATTTTTATAAAAGGACATAAAAGTGATGCATTTAGTATGAAATTAATATCGAAACTGTAAATAAAACAAAAAAACTTAACTCTTAAAAAGTTTGCAGTTTAAGAAATCGTGCAAAACTTTAGTTGCGAAGTACTCAGTGAAGATGTATGTAAACTGAGCAGCTTTCAATAACATTGTAATTTGTTATAAATTATATAAATACAAGAAAAAAGTTCAGTATTACCAATAAGCAAGTTCTTAAATGAGATTAAAATAAAATTCGCTTGGGGTAAAATTTCACATATGATAGCCAAATAAATTAAGGTTTTAAACATCTCAGCATCATTATGGCATTAATTTCAAAGAAAAGCTTAAACCATTCTAATGGGGTCATAGAGATGCTTCTTCTACTATACTGATTTTCTCTCTAAAGGAGGAAAAATGTCGGGCTGCAATTTTGCTAAAAATGCATTTCTAAAGCAGAAGAAATAAAAATAAACAGATCATAAAAAAACTAACAGTTATATCGCCATTCAATAAACAGAGTAGGAAAAAGAAAAGATGTTTACTTAATCTTTTTAATTAAGTGCTTAGCTTAGTACTATTAAAGCAGCTAAATAATGCGATTTATATAAAACCAGCATTAAATAATTTCCAATTAACAAAATTCAAGTATAATATTTTCGAATCCCAAAACATTTATTCGATTAAAAATTAAATCAACCAACAGAGGAATTATCCTAAACATTTGCGTCTCAAAAGTATTTCCTTTTATTATATCAAACTTGAAAAATATCTTAAATTGGAGTATATTTCAATTTTTATAATTAAATTTGTATAAAGTGCACCCAAATGTCTGCGAATTCTCTTTCCTTGACAGTATAAAATGCTACAGAAAAAAAAAGGGAATTTAAATTTGGGTAGTTACAGTATAAAAATATAATAACTAAATTAAAGAATAAATTCACTAAAACTATATTAAATACGGAGATACGAAAATATTCTCTACAAGATTTTGAGTGACACCTAACTCTGTCGCCAAAGTGGTGACATTTACTGATTTTTCATCAACTTGCCGACTTTCTGGAATTTTCAAGAAACGAGTTTTCGAAGTTCTACTGCAATGTTTTCCAGGAAGCATTTGCTTACTCTTTATAACTTATGTCTTTAAAGAAGTACACTTTTAAAAAATTCTAAAAAATTGTAGGGTCCAGGTGGGTTAACTTCTGTCTGGATACAGGAGTAGCAAGAAACTACACAGAAGAAGGGTTCAAACTCTTTATTAACGCTTTAAAATTTACACTGCGTCAACTCGACGCTAACAAACTTCGCCTCTACTTGGGCGGTAGCTGAAAACCAGGTAATTGAAAATTAAAAGTTGAAATGTTTAACAAGTGCTAAACTAATCAACGGGGCTCAGCGAGATCCCGATCTTCAACCTCCTTCTAAGCCACTTAAACCAGCAATGAGCAAACGTACTTACGGCAGAGACGACAGCTAGACCCAATTCTCTCTTCTCCCATCGAAACTCGGCTTTTAACTACTTCCTCCAATATATAAAATTTGCATGCGTTCACGCGCGCTACAATATTTAACTATTCTGGTACTGACAATTAGGGGAATGAAGGCTTTTAGAAAAGTCTGAACTTAAAATTTAAAATGTTAGTTAAAATAAATATATATCCTTGCAAAATAAATAATTACATTTTATATCCTTTGTTAAAATAATACTTTTAGATTTTAAAAATATTTCTATTTGGATTTGATCTTGAATGTTTTTAAATACAGAAAAATCTTTAAATATCTAGACTGAAAGAGAAATCTAAAACTAATTGAAGAAAGAAATTTTATTCCTGTAATATTTATTACTACTGGTTAATTATCAAAAATGCAATCAAGCGTTTGTGTGTGAAATCATGCTTTCAAAAATTTCAAGAAAGCTCTCCATTTCTGACTGAATGATATTTTCGAAACATGCATTTATTATAAATTTTCAAAAGTTAAACAATAGAAATATCAAAAAAATCATAGAAAATAACTTCAAAAATTAAACTAAACATGGTATTAATTAATGTAAATAATTTAGGCACTGTATTGTAATCTGGTTCTTGAATTCGCAGTCAAAACAACTGTAAAAATTATAGCTACAGAACAGAAGAAGCAGTTTTCATATTTTATGAATTTTAAAATAAGTTTTCTTTGCATGTGCAATCTTACGCTTACTTATTTTTGAATTAAGAAACATTTTAATCAAAATTTTTGCAATACATTTTAAAATTATTTTCAATGTTTAATATGTAATGTAATCTGAAATAATAACATTTATTTTGAATTCTTGCATTTATTTATTATCTCAAATAATTTGAATTAACCTCCTACTTCATCTTTCTCCTCAACATCGAGCAATTAAAATTTCCATGGGTTCAAAAGGATTTTGCCACTCTAGGCTTCTGTAAAAATAAAAGTAAGCAACTGATATTGAATACAGATGATTTGAAATTTCAGTTAAAAACATCTCAATGTTAAAAAAATAATAAATTTGGGATTGAGTTGAAAAGTAATCTACCAAAAAAAAAATAATAAAGTTTATATATACAATTGAACATAAAGGTTTTGATTTTACGCTTACTAGATTATTTTTTTGAATTTCTTAATGTATAATAAATCTAGGTTTGACAAATTTAGATTTATTGGAAAATATCTTAAATGATAAACATTGCAAAATATGTTTTTAAAAAAGTAAACCTTTATTGTTCAAAAAAACCTGTCATTACATTATGAAAAAGAACAGTGGTCATTAGTTATATATTATCATTCAGTTTTGAATCTCATAAAAAGTTAAGGTTTCTTTAGTAAACAAAAATAAAATGCTGTATAGTTGAGTAATCTGCAACTGATTTTTTGTTTAGAATTATTATTGGCAGCTTCAGTTTACAATATAACAGAGTAATTCACTAAAACTATATTAAATACGGAGATACGAAAATATTCTCTACAAGATTTGAGTGACACCTAACTCTGTCGCCAAAGAATATAAGATAACTGAACCAAGTATATTACATATAATCCGCCTAAAAAGCACTACAAATGTAAATGCATGGTGGAGCAGTTTTAATAATGTATTTTGATTTTTGTAGTATAACAGACGTAATGCATGAAATGTGTGCTAGATATTACAGTAATGTTTCGATAATGACACTCAATTTTTATTTGTTCAACATAAAGATATCATATGCTCGCTGATTAAAATTATTTCCAGAATAGCGCTTCTATAGTTCCATGATCTAAAATTTCAAGAATAATGATTCTATAATTTCTTACAGGGGAACTTCAAACAAAACTTTTCCCTTATCCACCCCACTTCCTATTCTAATTCAATGACCCCGTGGAGTTACAGTAACAGTAGAATTCGACCACTAACAGTAGACGAATAACGAACAATTTCCATTATTGCTCAGAACAAAGTAAACTGCAACGAGATCTTTATTTACACGGCGCATAATCTCATAATCATTCAGAAGTCGAACAACAAAAATCAGCGTTATATTTTCAAATTTTCACAGGACTAGTTTCGATGGCTTTACTGAACCACAATCCTCAGCTGCAAAAGCGCAAATGTACGAGACTGGATATAATGATTAGATAAGATAAGAAAGCCCGGACAGAAAATAAGCTAGTGGCGCCATCTGTTGATTAAACCATAACTAAAACATAATTTCTTTAAAGGCCGAAGGCAAAGATGGATTGGAATTAGGATCGTTAACTAAAAGAGAAAGAATTTTTTGAATGTGAAATGCCTTTAGAAAATCCAGTTCTCCAATGGAAGATGTTTTGTGTATAATTTTGGCAGCAGAAAATTGAAAGTGTGATTTTCGGACCAACAATGTTGGGCAACAGAAGACTTCTGTGTTTCCT